GCAGAGCTACGTCCATCTGCTTCAGGCACTCCAAGAGACGCATGACAAAAGAACGAAGGAAAACGCTTGGCTACCACTGTCCATTCCAATCATGTTCAGGGCAATTTCCACAGTGCCCTCAATTAGGAGGTCACAAGCAAAGCTGAAAATGGATTATAATGCATAGTCAGCAGCAACACAAGTTTCTATTTCATTCCACAATCAAATGACTTCATGCATTTTCCAGCCTCATGGGGCAAATATATGTATATAATGAACAACTTTCAAAGCTATCTTCTGGAATAGCACTGTTTCTCTCAAATCACAGGACTATCCTATCCTTTCATCTAGTAACAAAACCAAAAAAATACGCACAAAAAAACCCAACCAAGATCATTAGTGACACTGCTGAGGTCATCACAGTCCTAACCCACATTAGAAAGGCAAAGACTTCATGCCAGTATCATACTGCCTTTCCAGTATCATTAAATATGGGTCTCCAGTTTGCAGAACAGACATGATTAAACTCTACTTCTGTTTCAGTCCTAAATTGCTTAGCAGTCTTGCACCACAATTATGCAGTTAGCTTCTCCACAGGAACAGGCTCAGGGCAAGAAACAAAAGCAACTTTGAGTTATTATGACAGCTTAACACAAAAACAAAGCCCTCAAATATAACAGAATAGCTAGACAGCATGGTTTTGGAGCTACATTGCTCTTCTGCCATATTTTTCTATATCAAGGTTGGATCTGAACTTACATTGTTCATGATCGTGTTTGAGTAACTTAACATTTGTGTCAGCTGAAATTAAGAGCAACTATACAATAGTGGTATGCAGCAGTAAGCAAAACAGAGAACTAGCTCTTCACTAAGACCCTACCAGGAGAGGGACTCCCTGAAGGATCTGTTCAAACACAAACCTAACCGAGTCCTTAACACCTTAAGGCTCACAACTCTGAAGCCAGATGTAACCTTAAGACAGCTCAACCAACGTTATGCAACAAGGTGAAGCATTTTATAGTCTCATTTAAACCCAACTTATTTATTTATTTATTTATTTTTTTTAATAACTGCTACTCACACAGTAGGTCAAGGGTCTCTTTCTCTGCGGTGGGGGTTGCAGAGCTCAGGTGCAGTGCAGCAATGACACACGCAGCGCACGGGCAGCACGCTGGCTCTGCTCTGCACTGCGTGAACGCCTCCAGCTGCTCCCACCAAGGGTGCAGATGGGCTCATCCTCTTCTGACCCTGCTGGAGGCACTGCTGCAGTTTTACTTGCATGAAAAAAGGACAAAAATAATCGTTCAAGGTGAAAAACGAAAAGGTAAGATGCATCAGTCCACACCTGGACTGAAATTATTACTGAAAATGTTAAACAACAGAAGCCAAAAGCTTGTTTTCTGACTTTCACAGGCCTCTAGTCATAGATTAGCATGTACTATCAAGGAGAGTCAATCTGGAAAGTGTAAAGACTGCAAAACGATCTATGCACATAACTATTTCATGCTGATACATGAGGCAGCTTGCAGCAAACCAGGTACTATAGCTTCAAAGGAAAAAGAGACTCTCTTTTCTAAAAGGATAATCCCCAAAACTGAGTTGCTTCAGGCTACAAAGGAAACCAGCCAGTTTGCTTATAACATTCCACAGGAATTCTGCCTTGGGCAAATCAGCTGCAACAGAAATGAAAGCAACATTTAGAAGACAAAGGAGGTGATTTCGGTCTTTATGTGGGCACCTACTATAGTCCGACAGGCAATATATCCAAGCTAGTCTCTCACCTTGGTAAGTAATAACAAGCCTCTTCCCTGTATATAGCACTTTACATTTGGAAACAGTGAAAAGCATCAGGAGCAAAAGGTTCCCAAGGGGGCCTGTAGTGCAGACTGTCTATATGACCTGCAGCAGTTGCACAGCAAGGCTGGGGCAGATATGGAAAAATCCCATGGCTATCCAGTGTCCGATTTACTGTAGCTCTGGAGAGCTTACACATGCACAGGATGCAAGATGTGAAGATGCAAACACTTCACCAAAGCTGTCCTGCTACACCAGAGGCTGCAAGAAACAGCTGCTCCAGCAAACACTTGTCAGCACTGCGCTTATCTGAGTCACTATTATTAACGTTCGACCCATTCCAATGCATTTAAAGGGCAGTTTTGTTTGAGGCTGTTCATATTGCATGAGCTTATTGAAATAATTGATTCAAGCCCAAATGACAAGATCCTTAACACTAATCTACATCAGAAGAAAGATTAAAGTAAAATGAGAGAGAAAACACTTCAACGAAAAGAGATTACAAAATAAATCTAATTTTCCTGTTGACATTTTGAACAGGGAAGAACCTGCCATAAGTTTTTCAAGCCTAGCCACCAACAAAAAGGCAGTGGAAAATGCAGGAACGGAGTAAATGCTTTTTTGTCTTTTAAGACAGAATTTAGATCAAGCATACAATGTTCAGAGGTGCAGCCAGAGGTGTGTGAGGAGAACAGGTCCAGTTGTGTTCAAATGTTTGAAGAGGTGGATCCCAAGGTTGGATGTGGACCATAAATGCTGTTGGTGAATTGGAAAATGAGCTACTTCAGCTAATATCTCAATAAGGCAGGAACTATGCAACGCTTTAATGATCCTACTGCTCTTTTGCTATAAAAATTATTCTGCAGTTTTAAGAAAGCTTAAAAGCTTTTTACTAACAGCTAAGCTTTAGAAAACTCTACCAACGAATATAATGAGGTAAAAATGCTTATTCACTAAGGACACTTTCTTTGGCAGAGATCGAATAAAAGCGAGTATTTCCCAAGCCTCCAGGAACTGTTCTCACTGCTCTTCTGGTTTCTGCTCGTCCCAGTGCCCCGCAGTCTTTTTGCTGCCAGCTCTGCTACACAGTCCTCCAAGATGCAAGAGATCAAAAAGAAAATAACTGAAGAACTAATCTTAAAATAATTCATCAAATATATACTGCCCTCCTTTCCCAAGCATTCAGTGGGTCTAGCATAAAATAATGTATAATTTCTAACATATTATTATGCTTTTAATCTTTCAACTTCAGGCCTTTCTTGTCTGCTTATATTGTTAAAACACTGGTAACTTTAAACGTGACATTGCTCTATTCTTATAACAGGATTCTCAATAGCTATAGAAATTTATTCCACATATGACCCTTAAGCCTTATTTAGAATGATCTCTTCTATGGGTGACAAGGGACTTTGAATTTCATGGGCCATTTAATCTTTAGCCTTCACCAGAACTATATAGGTTGCCAGTGAATTAGAAGCGTAGCCCCTGTGAAGCTGAAACATTTAATGGTAAAGCATGGAAAACTTGCACACAGGCCACTGAACAGCCAATAGGTGAAAACTTGTACTGACTACATAACTTAGATAGGAACAAGAAAAACCCACCTTATTTTATTTTCCTAGTGGTGCAGGACGTTTCAGGCAGCAGTTCCTTCCAAGGAGTCACTGTGCCACAAGCTCCCATGTTCTGCTGCTCTGGGCTTTATTGTAGGACCCGGAAGCATCAATCTAAAGGCTTATGTGAATGACGAGAAGTCTCATTTTCATTTACAAGGGGCAATGCTCACAGTCACAGTGACCTTAGTGACAATCACAGCAATTGCTGTCCATCTGGAGAGAAGCAGGAGGGCATCTGATTCAGCTCTAAATCTTTCTCTTCATGCTCTCACATACATACTGTCTTAGGCGAGGTAGATGCGTAAAGGCATGTTTGGAACAACATCTAAAGGAATAGCAAAAAGACCACCCAAAGGACTCAAGATGTGCACTTTTTGGAAGTTAACGTCAGAAGCTATAAATGCTCCCTTACTGAATAATTTAAGCAGTATTTAGTTGGTATTTGACCTATGTATCCTTTCACATTCACTATATATCCCATTCTATGTTCACTTCTGGCCAGTAAAATACTGGCACTCTTCAACAGCAATGATTCGCACGAGAAGACGGAAATACAGGTGAGGTGAAAGACATTCCTATGTGCAATAAATCAGCCATACATACCTACCCCGTGCAGGTTTCTCTACCTCCCAGTCGTTCTAGGCTTCACAGTCTTAATAGGTATTTAGTTTTCATAGCATGAAGATAAGTACCTAGAAATATAATTCAAGGCGAATATTGGAAGCCCCATTTTACATTATCTTCTCTTTGATTTATATATGAATTATTTATTAGATATCTTCTGGCACTGTTTTAAAAGGTAAGAAATCACCCTGGGAAGGAAAGAGAACACAGGTAACAAAGCACAAGTATTCTCAAGAGACTAGGTTTCCTCCAGCTTCTTAATCTTAGAGCTTGTTGTTACACAACACATTGACACTTCTCAGAACGCAGCATCCCAGAATCCAGGTTTAAAGTCTACATGGAAGTCTTCCATAATGTCGAAACATGTATTTTCTGTTTTGCAGTTAACAGTGTAATAAATCAATACGAAACAAGAGTAGTTATTAAAAACTGTATTTCCCACCCCCCAACAGTTACATTTTCAGTGAAAAGATTAAACCACATAAACACTTCACTTTTCTCCTTAAAAAGATTTAACAGCTCAGAAATGCCGTAGATAAACATGGAGGATGCATGTTAGCATGACAATGACAGGCCACCACAATCCAGCCCATTCATTCCAGCCAGCAACCAGAAACACAGGTACCCCCTTAAATTAACCCTTTAAGGGCTGCCCCTTTGCACCAAGGTTAAAATTAAAGTGCCTCTTAGGCAAACAGGTCAATATTTAAAGACTCATTTGGGTTAATTCCTGGTTTAATTTTAATAAAGAAATTTCCCAGCCAGCCCCAATAAACAGGGGTAAAAATTAACTTTCACATTGAAACTTTACAAAGTTGCAACTGAATCACAAGGTTCTTTTTCATAAATAGATGTACAGTTGTTCTCATTACACAATATTTACTTGTTCAAGATAATTTCCCTCCCCGTGCTCACAAGTCCCTTCTTTCTCTTGCATACATTCCACTGGCTTCTTTCAAGCTCTTCCCCACCTTGCGACCATGACAGCATCTTGTCGTCATAACTTCTTGCCACGAAAATGGTCATGTTGTCACAGTCAGATTCCAAATTATTTTTTCCACAAAATTAACAACCGTGCGAAAGGAATCGGGAACAGGTGAATGGAGTTCTGCTCAAATAGGCTTTGAAACACCTCAAAATCAGTGCAACTCACAGGAAAATCTAGGAGCTTTGTAAAAATGACCTCTACATACGAAAGAAAATGAAGTGCCAGGCTTTTGGCAGCAGTGCTAGAAACTTCAGGCTTCTGATATTTCAGGTGCAAATACAAAAACAGTCAGTGCACTTCCTGAAGTTTCACCACAGGTTCTTTAGTTTGTAAATGCTTAACTGTGTGTTTTAAGAGGCTGCAACTGCTACCAGAATAAGCCTGAAAGCATCACTGAAACTTGTGCCTGGAAAGCGTAGTGCAGTGCTACTGCCTCTCTTGGAGCAGTGCCTAAAGAAAACAGTATTATCTCAGGATCAAGACAAATTCTATCTATCACTGAACTGCTGCAGGGAGCCAAACCACATATAATTTTTCAAGTGATTAGGAACTTAGTTCATTAAAGCCCAGTGAAACTTGGATTTAAGCTAATGGTTATTAATTCTCCCTTACATGAGAGCTAAGTTTTGTGCAGCAATTAAAGGGTTAAAATCAAACTATATGTAGCATTTGAAGCAGCTCACACATTCTCTATACAAATTTGGCAAATTCATAGATCTCATTCTTGCAATTCCTGCAAAATATCCACAGCTCCTCTGTTAGAAGCAGAGAGAAGCCACCTAAATGACCAGATTTTCCAGGAGCACATGGTACAGCCCACAGAGAAGCACAGAACAGCTGCTGATCTCCATGGTCCACCTGAAACAGGTAGACTTATTGAAGTAAATATGCTTTAGACACATGCTCCCAAAAGAGCTTGAGGCCACAGAGCAGATGAGCATGGAAAACCTGACTGCATTGGAAACACTGCGGCCAACAGGAAATTAAAAACATGATTTCAAAGCCAATCAAAAATAAAACAAATAAACCCAAAAAGCAAGCATGTATATGTGTGTGTAGATGTAATAAATACTGCAAAGCACGTTTGTCTTTTTCCCCCAAGTCAATAAAGTAATAACCAATGCACCAAAATACCAGCTTTTTGCAATGAAAAATGTTGATGTCAGCAGAATACCTGCAAGCCAACTGAAGAGAAAGCATTTGCATCGCCAGCCAAGCACCCCTTGCTTCCAGTTCTAGGCAGCCAATCAAGCTCTCTTCAAATTCACAAGTTTGACCTAAATCAGCACCACAGCATGAAAAGCTTCTTTAGAAGTAGGATGTCAAGAGACTTATTTTAAAATACGAAATAAAATGAGAAATAAAAGGTTTCCATTGGTCAAGTTTAAAAAACTGTCTTCCTTTAGCCAATAACAGTCTGTCCCTTTGAGCCAATCGAAAATACATCTTTAGGTTTGTCCTTAATTAACACAGCCCAGACGAGTAGCAACAACGTATAGGAACGGATGGCTGAGAGATGCATTCTGAGGGATGGGCAAAGGGAAGTAAAACTAAAAAGGAAAAGGACTACTATGGAAAAACTAGGGGGGGCCAAGGAACTTATTAATGCTCAGCCATCCTCCTTTATCTTCAGGAATCTCACTGTCCTCTCCAGTTCTGTGTTGTTCAGGTACCCTGTAGTTACTGTCTTCTATCTTCTGTCTCTGATCTGGAAAATGCCATCACAACATCCTCAGCACCTGTAACAAAAGATACAGAAAATATAGGGACTACAGTTATTTCCTTTAAAAAATGATGGATAAATGCATTAGGAAGACTGTCATGAAATCAACAGGAAAGGAAAGAAAGGACAGAAGGAAAGAGAAAGCTGTTTGCTTATTTTTCTGGAACTTGCTAGAACTTGCTGTTCCAAACACTTCAGATTCAGACTTAAGATTTTACTTTACAAACCAAACAAATAAATTAGCTTGTTTTTAAAGACAACTAAGACTTCCCTGCTTTCACCTATTTCCAGGAAAGAAAAATGGAGAGATGGAATGCGGAGATGCTCTTTTTCTGGTTTCGTTGACACTTGTTGAGCTTCCTTAAAGCATGGAGAACTGGCCATCAAAACTCGCACTGCCCTCTGCACCAGACTCGCCTTTAAAACGACATCTAGATATTTTTTCCTGATTGCTCTTTTTCACTTTTAAGAATAAAAGTAGTTGTAATAGGCCAGATGAAAAGCTTTTTCTTCACTAAAAAAATTTAAATGCTCTTTATAAACTAACAGGTATTGAAAAGGTCCCATTCTTTAATGGAAACAGTATTCTCTTTCAAGCTGAAGGTTTCCATTTACCCAGTGAAAAGATACAGCTTTTAAGCAATGCTTTTATCTCTAGCCTGAGGAGATCTTCTCTACAAGAAATTAATCTGTGGACTTTCTCAGATCTTGGTTTTTTTTTCTTTCTTCAATTGAGGCTATCAACTGTGTATAATTACCATCAAAAGTCACGTCCCCTAAGCACATAAAGACACTATCACCTACCTATGAAATGCCTCCAAATCTTCACAAACTAGGCTGATATTTCAAGTCGGCATTTATAGTAAAAAGACTTGTATGGCTTAAGAATGATGTCTGATATAGGCATATAAAGAAGAGCATGCACTGGGCTCTCCATCTTCAAAAGATATCTTGAGATACTCTGAACAAGAACAGCTCTCTGGATTTCCTAACTATAGAGAGTATCCCCATGGACAATTAGGGAGAAACACCTTAAGGACAATAGGAAAAAAATACATCATAGAATAGTGTCAAAGCAATGCTTTAAATCAATATCTGCAGTCTAGACAAGAACTGGAAAGCAACCCTGAAGGACTGAGAACCAAAATTTTTAATTTCCGGTAAAAATGGCTTCCCTGAGAAAGTGAGATAAAAGCAAACACTCTCTTTTTCTTATAGGTCCTCTAACTACAGCTATCCAGACGATTGGAAAATACAATGAACACTCCAGTTACCCTTGGCATAATTTGAAACAATTATTTCTTCCATTCAAAATTTAAGTGCCACAAAGGACACACAATGTCTATGTCATCCTTTATTAATCAGGTCTGCTGGGAATAATTTTCTGTGATATGGTTTTCTTCAAAGCTGATATTAAAAGGTTAGACAACAAAGTAGGAAATATCAGAAAGGCTGCCCTGCTCCATCACATTATACTGATCAATCAGTTCTACAAATTCAAGTTGGACAGAGCCTCTAAAGTCTCACCTGGATCCTGGGTACAATAAAGATGCCTAACAGAAGAATTTCTTAGCTGCTATAGTGTCAGGGATGTCAGCCAAGATTTTGATTTTCAGTAATCTAATTCGCATTTTAGTTTGGGCTCAAGAAGCAGTAAAGCCTCAAAAAGATACTTCTCAGATTTCAGAGTAGTTGTTTTCAAAATATAGAAATGCTCAACTGAATGGTAGGTAGTTTACATCAGAATTCAGTGCACAATCTTGGTGATTTTATATAAATAAATCGCATATTTAATGCAAGTTACAAAAGGCTGTCCCTATCTTCTACTGCCATTACAGTGCAAATAGGACATTATGGTTTTTTTTTTTTTAAGTTTTCCCTAAGGATCAGTTAGATGAGATGACTTTGGATCCTTCAACAACCCATGTGGAATTAAGAGCATTAAGAGAACAGACAGTAGGACATGGTCAGCTTTTCTGAAATATTTCTGCATGAAAGACAAAGGAGGGGGAAAGAAAAACAGTCAAATATATTAAGCCTTTACAATGTATTCCTTACCACATCAATTTGCCTAAAGGTTTGCAAAATGATTTTTTTATATACAGTACACGCTTCAAAACTACAAATTGCCCAAGACTGTATTTAAGCAGCAATCTAGAGCAGAATTCATAGGCAGACAGCTCCTATCGACAGCATTTCCTCATCTCCCAGTCCTTTGGATGAGGGCAAATTTAGGAACACATTTCAAGTATTTTCTTTGGCTGGTAGCAAACGTGGGGAAAGGGAAGGACAAGTTCAAATGTGTGATAGTGTTCAGCTCTCCATGCTCAGGACCACCGACCTGGGAATGTTTTTCCATATCGAACAAATGGTTCCATGGAAAAGGATGGCTGTAGATTCCCCTTGCTAATATCCCTTAAAACTAAAGCATTGCTTAAGAAATATGACTACATTTGCTTTTATACATACTCAAAGATGTTGTTTATACATACTCAAAAGAGAAAATGTTAAGGACCAAGCAGCAATTTATTTTTCATATGCAAGACCCATATTTTATAGAAATACATCAAAAACTGCTCTGATGCTCCTTCTTGCCAACACTCAGAAGCCCTGCAGTCTTTTCCCTTTTCATCTCTTCTACAAACTGTTTGTTCCTTGATCAAAACACAAATGATATATAGCACTGGAATTCAGTTCTGAATTAACAAGTTGCCATGTTGACATTTTTTATTTTAGGTGCGTAACAAAAAAAAAACACCTAGCCTCTACCTATATATATATATAGGTATATATATATTTATATATATATATTATATATATTATATATATATAATATATAAAATATTATATTTATATAAAATATAAAAAATAATTTTTTTTTTTACTTGCAAGAATTCTGACAAACAAACATAAGCCAGAGAGAGGCAGAGGCGGGAGTAAATATATTTTTGCAAGCAGTAATGGGACAAGGGCACCAAAGCACAGCGCGGGCTGCTGCATTCCGCCTGCATCCCTCGGCCTGGCGAGGCCTTTGGGATGCGGGATGCAGCTGGGGGATCTCAGCAACCGCAAAATCACAGATGATGCCTCAGCAGCGCGGGAGCCCAGCCGGATTATTCAACAGATGTTGACTGTTTTCCTGAGATTGTCCCTCTCTACAGTCTAAACAGGAAAAAAAAATAATTATATACTTGTGCAAGCTATATGTAGAAAAAAATCTATTCCAGTTAACTGTACAACTGCATAAACCCGCTGGGTAATTTTTCTGCCTGCAATTGCAGCTTCCAGCCCTGTTCCCATGCGCGGGTTTACTGTGGCGTGTGTTCAGCACTTGAAAACACATGAGGAGCAAAAATAGCTCTGGGCACGAGGGAAGCTGGGTTCTCTGCACTTCATTTTGGCTTTTCGCAATCAAGCAGCTACCACCGAACTGCAGGTCCGTACTCAGCCAGCTCCTGCACTCAGTTTTTAAGGCCTGGCAGAGCTTCGGTGCTAGTGTGGCTGTTAACATAAACTCCTGTTAAGCTGCTATTTCCTGGACCTTGCATTGGCAAGGAGAAAGAAATCGAAAAACAAAAAACAAAAACGAAAAAAAATTGCAGCTGGCATTGAGACTTGAAAACAGAAAAAGCCAAATTTTGTAAGTTATGCCATGTTTGGGTACATGGAAAGAAACAGTACAATAAAGAACACAGCATAAAAACCATGGGAAAAAATGTGTGAATATCCTATTTTTACAGAATATTATTACTTGTATCCTAAGGAGGATACAAGCAGAAAGGTCTGGAACTCAAGTCCTGAAGGTAACTGCATCATCACAACTTCACTGCGTCTGTTTTGCCATCAGTGTAATTACAATAACTACAGTTCTGAAGTGCTCTGAAACCCTGAACCAAGCTAAATGCATAGTTTTTACTATAACATCATCAATAGTTGATAAATGAGCTTCCCATATGGGACTTTTTAACTGATGACTGGCAGTCAGTATGAGACCCAAGGTGGGTAAACAATTTGTCAATGGAAAAAACATATAAATGATCACTGGGTGAAGGGGAGGTCACCGCTGTACTTTCTCAATGGTTGCCTTCGTTCCAACTTTCCTCTCATAAATGATGTTGGAACAGAAAGCAGTTGTATCCTACCAAAATTTACTGGCAATGCCAAGTTAGAGAGCTCAGCCAAAACACCATGAAGCAACAAACCAGAGGCAGAGGAATGAACAGGGTGGCAGAGAAGACCAGAGGGAAATCTAAAAGGCTCTGGCTGTATTTCAGAAGGGCAGAAATAAATAAAAATATTAAGAAACAATACACATCCCTGTGCCCTATGGTACCATTTTAGACAATATTAAATAGGTTTTACGCACAATTCCTAACAGTTATAGTCCCTCCTCAATTTCCCTCCCCTCTTTTTTTTTTTTTTAATTTTATTTATTTATTTTTTGATTGAAGAGCGTTCATTTGCAGGAATTAAATGCAGGCCAGTATTTGCAAGAGCCTCAGGCAACTGCTTTTAAAAAGACAACCTGATCTAGCAAATAAAGGATATTACCTTCAAGATAAACAAACAAGTGAGTGGGTAACCTGGGGGGCAGAACACCCAAGAGAACACTCACCTTTCAGTAAGGGCTCAAGCATATGCCGATTTCTTTTTTTTCCTCACATTAAAGCCCCAACTTTATATTTAAGGAGGTGTTACAAACAGTAAGACATCCTTTCTGCAAACAGCAGCGGCCACATGGGAACTTCCTGCAGGTTTTTAAATTTGCTGGTATAAAGTCAGAAGTACAGGACCATTTACTTCGCACCCAAACTAATGGTTTCCAGACAATGGAAATCCAGTCCCCTTTTTACCAGTGCCCTCGGGGTTTTCCATCCCATGACTTTATTTTATCTTCACTAACAGAAGAGCCTGTACATTAGTCAGCACTTCTGCACTCCTCAAGAACACCCCAAGGTCACACTACATGGCCAGGATACAAAAACCAATAACGTTGGTCAAATCTAGGACCGATTT